AAAATGATTGTTTTTAAATTGACAACATTTATTTTTCCTATTCAAAGTGGCACATTTTATTTACACTATATTAAACTTTCATGTCAAAAGTTTGTTTGAAACACGCTGTTAATTTAAATACTGCCATGCTTTCAATTTGACAGTTCTACAACTCGATATGAAAGTTTCAACTTTTAAAAGTAGGGAGTGGAAAACTTTTGAATTGACAGTTTGATTACTTTCGTTTTGAAAGCTAGCCGCTTTCTACCAAAAAGAACCAATGCAAACTTTTAATTCTACTAATGGTTTTTTTTTAATTTTATTAACGATTATTTTTTGTGTGTATATATATACCTATATATATACATATATCTATATATATATATATATATATATATATATATATATATATATATATATATATATATATATATATATATAAACATTTTTTTTTTCAGTATAGCGATCGAACGATTCAAGAAATAAGACAGCAATTGTCTTGAAGCCATTGAATTACGAGTCTCTCACTTTGCCTGCTGCAAAGCTCGCAGACCTTCGAGGACTACTTCCGTTTATCCGACAAAAGGAGTTCTACCAAACGTTCCTTAAAAGCTTGGTTCCAGCAAAAAGAGAACGTACAGAAAAATCAACCAAAGAACACGGCTTTGAAAATGATTTGGATTCCAATAATGATGTATAAGGCGAAGGTATGTTGCAGTGCTTAAAACTTGCTAAACGGAAATGATTGAATTCAAATTTGAAAAAAAAGCAATATAGGAAAAAAAATCTAATCTTGATACTCCTTAATAAAGATATAAAAAAAAATAATAATCTTGATACTATTTTTATTTTAATGACAATTATATACCATGCACTGACACATAAATTCAAAGGTGGAGTCACATCTGTTTGTCTGTGATTAACCTTGTGATCAAAACATTCACTCAATAGCATTCTGCCTGGTAACCTTCAAGCACTCTTTCTTTTTTCATTCCCAGCAGGTGTCAAACTATATTCAGCTGCAGTTCTTCTAGTAGTTCTAGTAGACCATTTTTTTTGTATAACGTTCCACTCGAGCACAGAAATACTACCAACGAAAGGAATCAAACGGCCAGAGATGTCACAAAGCAACTATGTCCCAGATAAGTCATTTTCTTCTTCTGCTCTTCCCATTATCCTCTTTCCATGCTGATGATGATGTTTCGGGGCAACCCGATACTAGTTGTTGGTTAAATCATGTAGGATTACATCCGATTACGATGAAGTCTTTATTTGAATCCTGCAAAAAAATGTTATGATGTGTCTATTTTTGTATTTCCGGGGGCAACATGTTTATTATTTCAAAAGTATTCTAATAAAATTGCACTTCAATCTTGACTTTAATATTGAACTTCACATATCAATCTGACCAGTGCTTTCTTAATACGAAAAACACAAAACGTACACGGAACCAAATTTTGTTCATTTAAATCAAAAATATAAATGTTCATTCTATAAACATATGATTAATTCAAAATAAATTAAAAACATGTTTGCGACAAAAATATATATGTTTGAATTAAAGTCAAAAGCATGTTTATTTCAACAATATAGAATTTGGGTAAACGATTTTTAGCGTGCCCTGCCTTTTTTTTCCTTCTTGTTTTCATTCGGAAAAAATGCCCCAATCAACTGAAAACGGCCCGCAACAAAACCGAAATCATGGATTCGGAAACCCACCTAGGTAAGTGTCTTAATAAAGTTCCGGCTCGATAAAACCGGAGGAACCCCAGCGGTATCGATGTCGCTCTCTCGTTTCTGATGCCGATCCTTTATCATCCTCCTCCACAACTGACGTTGAAAGAAAAACGAAAATCCTAAATAGATTTTGAATCTATTCCGGATCCTCCAGTCCCCCCTCCTTGAACACCGAACGTAGAAAGAGGCCGGCATGAGGACCAGCGTTAGAAACGACAAAACGACGCTGATATCACAAAGTTTCACTGGTTTTACTGAACTGAAACTTCCGGACACTCACCCCGACGGGTCCCCGCATCTCGGACCAGGACCCAACATCCACAGCTTACCCAAAATCGCACCCGAAAAAGAGCAGAAGCTTAGATGCAGATCGTTTTTTCATCTCTTTGCAATCCATTTTTTTTGCTTTATCCTGCTAATATAATTTAAAATTAAGTATGTTTCTTTCAAACATATAAGAAGCATGTTTAAAATAAACATATTTATTTTTGTTCACATACTTGTCAAACCAAACAAAAATATTCACGTTTATTTTCAACACGAATATTTTTAAAATAAACGTAACATTATTGTTGTTTTAAACATTAATATCACATGACTTCAAACATGGAATACGTTTGAAATAAACCTTGTTTATTTTTGTGGCCAGAACAAACTGAGTTTACGTTTAAATTTACCTCAAATATTTTTGGTTCAACGATAAATTTTTCTGCGTGTATAACATCTGACAGCAGATAATGCGGTGACCCTCTCATCTCCGCTTTTAACATCGATTATTTCACAACTCTGGGTAGTTATGTAAATAAACCAACCAACCAACAATTCCTCAATGCTTTTCGAGCTGCCGACGTATCTTCACTGCAAAACAAAAACCGGTGTATCTGATTTGACGTATGTGAAAACCCTTCTGTCAAAAAGTCTTGTCTGTGTTTGCAAAACTCGACATTTTTCACAATCCTCATCCAACTAATAGCACAAACAGATTAAAAAAAATAGCATTAACTTTTAAATAGCATTTAATAATCTCATATAGATATTGCTATCCAATGTTTTTAATTTCCTATCCAATGTTACATACGTCCTTTTGAAAATTTATGCTTGAAATATGCTGTTAGTCGATATTTTCTTTGATCAGAAAATCGAGGCTACCTTGATCATTTTTGAGTAAATGTGAGTAACTTGGAGGCGAACCAGCCCCAGGCTGAAAGCCTCCCTAATAAAGATAAAAAAAAATAAATAAATGTGAGTAACTCAAATTTACTCGCTCCAAATATATTTACTTTGAGTACAGCTGTCTTGCCCCTTATACTGTATGAATAACTACGAAACTTGACAGATGTAAACAATACACTATGAATAAGATTTCTTCAAATTTTCAGGGTTTTTATCGAATACACCCTTTACTCCTTGATTGTGTAAAATTTTCGTCAATTTTCTCCATTTTTCGGCAGATTTTCGAGGTTATCCATACAGGAAAACATTTACTCGTCGCTGAATCGTGCACTTTTTGCGATTATAAGTAAATTGAACTAAAATTTGGGTTGATCTCATTGGCCGTGCAGTCTAGGAGTAACGAGTAACCCAAGGTGGTTACATATAGGTGTTCTAATGCGTCAAATTCGTGATTCAGCCATGTTGGATTTTTGTATGGGACAGCGACCGAGTTTGTTTACAATTTGCTCTAAAACCACACTTCCCCCCCGCGACCTCCTCGCCTATATAGTGACAAAGCTGTATCACCATTTATATACCCACCCTAGAGTCGGTGTATAATGAGTCACGCCAAGAGTGAAGCCAAGTCTACCTATTGAACTGTCAAACCGGCTACCTATCGTGCAAAATAAATAAACATTACGATGCTATGAAAGGTCCACGAAAGGTATTGCAATAAAATATAAAATATAATCGGAGAAATGAGCATAAACACGCAATGAGCGTTAAATTGTCATGGGATACGCTCGGTAATGATTAGTAATAAGAATTTCTACTATTTTTTGTTAAGATAATTTGACAAAATCACTGATATAATGATTTACTACAGCCGCAATATTTTTTCTCTCGCTAGAAGTCATTTGAAGTTGTTGTAGAAGTCCTCTGTTGCCAAGTGAAAAGAATGGAAATCTTCCGAAAACCGTGATGCGAGTTCAACTGTTTTTCTCTTGGCGTGACTCATTATACACCGACTCTAACCCACCCATTTGAGTGAACGAAAATCATATTTGAGTTGATTGAATCGACCGTGAAATTTTCTCGGAGAGTTGTGTAGCTAGGACACAACTCTCCCAGAAAATTTCACGGTCGATTAAATCAACTCAAATATGATTTTCGTTCACAAGATTAGCTATCACAGAAATTCAAAACAACCCAAAATTAAGTTCTTTTCACTCATCTCCCATGTTCCGTACAATAAGCCAAATTTGGGTAAACCGGCTCAAAGTAGTTTGCATTTAAGCACGGCAAAAAAAATTACCCATCACTAAGTTATTTTCAATTTTTTCTACCCAAAATTAAGTTCAATTAACTCAAATTTGGGTATATCGCATATTACTCAATTTTGGCTTCTCGTACGGAACTAGACGGTTGAGTCGAATCTTTCGTTCTATTTTTGACAACAATAGCGAGAGAAAATGAAACGGGCTGAGGTCAAATAACTCAAATTTGAGTTTAAAAAACCCAAGCGGTGGGTAGTTTTGTTTTTCTGTGTAGGAATCTTGTTCTATTTTTTTTTAATAATCTTCGCATAGAAGATTTAAGGTTCAATTTACTTTGATGCATTTTTAAAAAATTCAAAAGCAGTTTTTTTCGACGCATTATTTTAGATTGCAAAAAGCTCCCGTCATTTTGTGTAAAATATCAAAAGGAATCGAATAGTGCGAGCTTTTTGCAATCTGAAATAATGCGACGGAAAAAACTGCTTTTGAAATTTTCCTAAAAGCATCAAAGTAAATTGAACCTTAAAAAGATAATCCATATTAAGGGTGTGAACCATTTGCCGAGTTAAATTTAACTCGTGGTTAAAAGTGACATTTCGAAAGTTATTTTCTATGTTCGAAAATCCCCGTGCTGTCGATCGACCGGTTTTTGAGCCACAGTTGTCAAAATTTAACTTCTTGTCTGTCAGAAATAACCATGCTCGGATAGCAGGGTTAATCGATAACTTTCCATCTGTCAAATTTTAACCAAAAGTTAAAATAATCCACCAAATGGTTCAGAGCCTAAAGTAGTAAGGAAAGACATATTTTAATTGGAATAAATACAAATACTTTATTTTTTCGTTACAGAAGCTGTACCAATAATGAATTCATTATAGATAAATTACAAGAGAAAATCTTTGCTCACTATTTCTAATTTATGAACTACAATAAGTTACGCTAATATTAGATATAAATATTTGGAATTATGTTTGGTTTAGTATCAAGTTTGTATTAGTTGTCCTATTATCTTCCATATGATCACGATATACTTTGACTATCATTGATATTATTCAGTTCAGTATTAATATATTTCTGTTTTCTGATGAGCCTAATCTAGTTGAGACAGTGATGTTTGTTCGTTTAAATATCAATTTTCCATGCACTTGATTATCAGTTTTTTCTTTTCTTCATTTATAATAATCTTTCTGAGTCTTGGATTTGAATGTTTCCACGTGGAATATCGTTTACAAGAATATATTTGTTTTGTGGAGTAGGCTAATTTTTTTCCAAACATATTCGTTCGACCGTTTGCGGTTTAAAAGACAAACACTTTTATTTTATTGATACGGTTCCCTGCTTGCACACCAACTCAGTTGTATTGGAACAAAACATATGGGTGTTGGTTTCGCTATACTGATTCCTGTGAAAAAAAAGTAGTTGAAACAATAATAGCAACACTACTACTCACGTTGGTCTATTGTTTACGTTTGCCTCATTTTTACTCTGTTCCTAGCTATGTTGTGGAATATGGCGTGATATGTTGATTCGCGCGCTGTTTGTTTTAGAGTGGAATGTAAGCTGTCGTTTGCAGAGTTGATGTTGGAGCTCCGGGGTGTTCTGCTTTAAACGATGAAAATTTTTCGCTTTACATTTGAAAATGGCCTATCAATTTTTGTAAAAAAAAAACGAGGACACTATCGGAAAGGGGATGTTGTTGATTTGCTTAGGCGATGAAAGGGGCATTACAAGTTTTGTTTACAAAATCTGATGGGCCTTTTTCACCTGTTACGCGAGAATTGATAAATATTACCGCAAACATATATTTCCAGGCCCTTCCGTGGTAAACCACAATCGGAAATTTCAATAAAATTTTGCGCGAGAACTCCAGCCAATGATAAGTCCGGATAACCATGGTGCATGATTCAAATCCAAATCGGAACTCAGAATGGAATTTTCATTTGGCATACACCAAGCTGGCATATATAGGATCACCGATATCATCGCATGAATTCTGACACGTGTGGTCTTAGTTATTTGAACTGGAAGGGCGAAAAAAAAATCATCCGCTTTCATCGGTTTCAAACAGAGGTATCCTATCTGTGCACTCCGAGGTTCACTGTCAGTGGTTATGGAATGTGATTTTGTTCTATTATTGAAGAATATAGCTCTGATCATGCAGTTCGCGGTAGCCGATAACAGCTCCAGTGGATGGAGGATTTTTGTTTTCATCCAGGCATCAATATTACCGGCTTTGGTTCACAGACAAATAGAGGTGCATGTGCATGGGTCGCGGTCCTGAATTTACAAAGCATAAAAGAATATTCTCCTTTGTAAATATATTTCTTCCTTAATAAATGTCCGCTTTCTAAAATATGTTCGAACGCAATAAAGTAGTACGTAGACATAAGATTTATAATTGCTAAATCGAAAAAAAGTAAAACACTCTTGCCATGAGTAACCAACCGACTTGTCTGTGAACCGGTCCCAGATGTACACTGCATATTGAGCAATATTTATTTGAAAGCTGCCGTCTGGTCGTGTCTCCCCTTTCTATATTCATACTCTACCTCCTGTCAATTGTGGTCAGTCTACCCTGCCCGGCCTAAGCGCCCTTTCCTCTTCGCAAACGCTAGGCGGTAATCCCCTACTGTTCTATCCAGGTGCAGCCGAGGCAACCTCTATATCACTGATACTTTTCACCCGCCGATGCTGTGCGTACTTGGGCAGCGTGGCCATCGATGAGGACGAGGATGCAGCCGATGAGCCGGCGTGGTCCATCGGAGGTGCGCTGACCCGATAGCTGGCCCGTTGATCAGCCGTCGTCCCGCCCGCCGCCAGTGGACTACTGCTGCTGGAATACTGCGATGGGATTGGTGGCGGAGCCGTCGTCGGCGGAGGCAGATGATGGATATGATGTAGTCCTCCCGCGGCTGCATAGATGCCACCCTCGCTGCTGCTGAACGACGGCGTCGGAGAGGTTGAGCTGTAGACGCTGTTTTTATCCGAACCGCCTCCGCCGCCACTGCCGCCGCCTCCGTTGCTGCCACTGCCGGGGCCGCGTGGTTTGTAGTTGGAGCTTATCCGGAAGGCCTTGGTAAGAGATCCCTGAGTAGAAAATGGAGAAACATTGATTAGCGCAGGTTTATTATTCGGTTCAGGATAACAAGGTCAGGGGCGTTCGCAGAGCCGCTCGATTTGAAAGGGCTGCTCACTTTTGTTTTCGGAAAACTACGAACGCCAGTGACAGTAGTTAGTAGAGAGATCTGTAAGGGAGGCGAATTAATGCGAGGGTACACTACCTGTGATCCTTTCCATGCGGAAAACTGCGTTGAATGAAATGTTCGCATGGGGGGATGGCAGATGGGGGTAGTTGGAAGTTTAGACGAGAGAAATAAAAAAAAGAGAAGAGATGGAAAATGCTAATTAGTAATGGCGAGGTGGATTACTGGTTGGTCGGAAATTCTGCATGCAAAATGCAAATTTACTTTGGCGGGTGCAACGGTGGGACGGTGGGTAGAATTGCAGTTCTGTTGAAGAGGTGTGCTCGGTTTAAATTATGCGATTATTTTCTTCCTCTGTGAAGCATTTGCATTTCTCGCGTAACACGAGATAAGGGCCTATCATCATTGTTGATCGATTCCCTTCATCGATTTTCTCTTTCGCGAATAACGCGTCATTCCATCGAATGGACTGTTTCAGGCACAAGCTAACATCGTGAGAAATTCGGTTATGTTGCCTTGGTAAACCAAAGAGAATCAAAGAGATGAAGAGAATCGATCAACGAAGATTGGCCCTATTCAATTGTTACGCGAGATTTGGTGTAAATGGAATCATTAGGGAACAGAAGGGACTTTGAAATGCATGCGTTTCTTTCGAGTATGGGTGCAGTGAACTACTTCTGATGCAAATTGAATAATTAAATTGAAAACGGAAAATGGAAATATGCGAAAGCAACAGGGAGAGTGGCGGTTATAAGCTGGGGCTTGGTGTCATTGCAATAGAAAAAGATCAAAAGATTTGTCAGCGTTCCAAGGATGGAAATTTATAAATTAAGCCCTTCTAACAAAGGTTTGAATAATTAATTAAAATAAATTTTAAGTTACCAGATTCGCTCGTTGGGTGCTCGTTAGCTGGGGTGCTCGTTAGTTGGGTGTTCGCAGTTGGCCAACTAAAAAGCACTCTTATGTCAAAATTAAATGTCAAAATCAAACTGACGTCTGAACGTCATCATTTTCTAGGGGTCTACAAATGTATCTTGAGACGAATTTAGCGATAAAAATCTGTTTAAAATTCAAAGGAACTTTATTGTTGAAAGAATGATTCTCAAACAAGTAAACATAATTACAGGTTACGCTTCTTCCATTCAACATCAATCAGTTTGTTTCACAGTGATACCAGTTTAGTGACTTCTTGAAAGTCATCTCTGTCATATTCAATCACATTTTTCAATGATTTAAGTACATTAGAAAAATCTTGTCTGCAGTTTGGAAATGCATCGTAGGCCGTCTGTTGCTCGTCCATTCCCTGAACATATTCACCAAATGTCTTCAACCATTCTTCATTCGTACATGTTGTATCATCTAACCGTTGTAGCACTGATTTTATGATTTCCTCGTCGATGTACTGATGACTTGATACACTTAAAATATTTCCCTCCGAATCAACAACCTGATCATTGAGCCAGCGATCAACGTCACTCTCACTTGTATTGGTACCGGCTGCTTTGTCTGCAGCAGCGATGAGTAACTTGAAGTCTTGGGCGTTATCGTCAACAGACGAAGAATCATTGTACTCGTGTCCTGGAAATTCATCATTCAGTTTATTCCAAGAATTCCTTATTGTTGATGCAGATATCTCATCCCACGAGCTGGCCAACCAATCAATGCATAGTGACCAAGGAATCAAAAATATCTCCAAATGACAAAATGACAAGCGATCAACGAACCGAATGATAACGCTATGTCAGAAGTGGAAAGCAATAATGATGTAATCTTCTTCATTCTTTTTCATGAGATGTGAAACGAGCAAATTATTGGCAAGCTGCTTCACGAAGTAAAGCCGGAGATGATACACGTGTATTAATCGAAATTTTTTTGTTATGTCTTTTCTCGATTCAGATCAAGCTATGTCCTCATCCGTGTATAGGTATTGCAACAAAGCAGGCAAGCAATGGGTCATTATCTTTCTACCACTCCGATCGAGCTTTGTTACAGAGCGAGTTTGTCATGGTAGTCGTAGCAATCGTTTTGTCTGTATCGTTGGTTGCTTTATGTGTTTGGATTCGCTGATAGTGACAATGAAATATTTTTCAGTCGTTGATTGAAGGGGAGATGTTCGTCTTCAAGAACCAAGCATCAACTTTCTCTTATAGCGCGTTCTGATTACGTTGATAACGGATTGATTCATGGGTTGGCACTCACTAGTGACATTGGATAGCAAGTAGATGATTTGGATCAACCCATCATCACTTTTTAGATCACATGCATCATAGTGAGCCGAGCAGTTGTCCAAAAGAACAAGAAGAAGTGCTTTTGGTTCAAGCCCGTTCTCTTCGCTGAACTTTCGCACAGCGGGGACAAATTCCTCATCGAACCACTTTCGAAACAGGATCCGGTTCATCCAAGCCTTCTTTGAGTTATAATAAGATACCAGTAGAGCTTTCTTATCACGAGGGATATCGTGGGTTTTCAGACATGCCGATGAACATAAGTTTTAATTTCAGCGTTCCGTCCATGTTCGAACAGGGCATAAATGTGTACCTATTCCGATTCAAATTACGTCCAGCAGCAGCTTTTTCATCCCAACAGGACAACCGTTTGGGATGCAATTACCCTAGTTTAATAAATAATGCGGATTTATCAGCGTTAAACAATTGCGAAGGGCTCAAACACATTTCCAGGATTTTCTTCATAAGCACTCCTTTGAACTTGGCGTAAGCTTCGAGGTCAGCCGAAGCTTTTTCTCCAGCGGTTACAACCGTACGTAGTCCAAAACGATTCCGGAAACGACGAGCCTATCCATTAGATGCAAGAAACTGGCATTCTTCGTAGCGTCCGTTTTGCTGTAAAGTTTCATAGAGAAGTCTGGCTTTGGCCTTCATTACATCTGACGGAACAGCTACCTATGTTTGCATTCCTTTGTTTTAGAACCCACAAGAATAATGCCGCTTCCATCAACGGGAAACTCTGTTCCTTCTACTCCGTGTTCTCTATAGCTGTCTATTTTCGATTTGATGACCAGACTTGCTGAAACTCCTCAAACTCACTGGAGGTTTTAAAACACTCTTGTTCTGCGAGTGAGTGGCGATAGGAATATGGAATAAGTCAACAAAAACTCCTCGAGAGAGAGAGAGAGGGAGAGTGAAATTCAGCGAGAGGATGATTTGACGTGAGGTGCGCTTTTCGAGACTCCCGATGACTTTTTTGTTCGACGCAAGAAGCTCAAAGTTTACCCAGAGTGAGAGTAAGAGCATGTGACAGAAATCATGAACATGAATGGCAGCAATCCTCACTGTCATTTTCCCCCTTCGCTCACAAGCTCTGAAGCTCAGTGGAATGATTTGGCAGTAGGCATTCTACTCCGAGGGGGGCGACTCTATATACCATGCAGGAAAAATTATGTTTTGTTGTGGTTAGCTGCGCGAAAGCTGGGTAGATAGAAAGAAGATTGATGACGATTCTAAAGATTTCCTGCAAAAAGATGATGCGCGATGCAAGTAGATGCGAGAAATGCAAGAAGATTTTTCGAAGATTGATTCGCTAGTGTGAGATGTTTTGAGCATCTAAAATTGAGATTTAGATGTGTCGCCCCCCTCGTTCTACTCCTCAGAAAAAGGCTACGCTCGACTCATTTCTAACTCGCGAGTAAGGCTCGTTTGAAAATTTTCACTTAAATTTGACAGATGGAAAATTTTCAAATAAACCTACTATCCCAGCAGACTTATTTCTGACAGACAAGGAATCAACTTTGACAGACGCTTTCTCGAAAATCAGCCGATCATCAACAGAGGGATTTTCGAACATCTTAATTTATTTTCGAAGTGTCCATTTCCAACTGGAACACAGCCTGAGATCACAGCAAACATTTCGTTTGGTTGCTGAGATTCAGCTAAGCATTATCCGAGACTCAGCAATCAAATGTCACTTTTGCTAAGATCTCAGTGAAACTTATTTTTGCTGAGATTTTCAAAGCCGAGCTCGGTAGAAAAAGCTAAGTGTGTATATTTGCGCTTCATCGTTTTGCTTCCCGACAACCAGGGTAGCTTCCATTCACTTGCTATAAAAAAATGTTTTTCGAAATAATAAAATCATTGGATGAAATAATGATATGTTGTACTTGCAAGCAGGGTTACTTCCACTCACTTGCTATAAAAAAATTGTGCTTCCGAATTATGAAAACATTAGATGTTATAATGATAATTAGTACTTGTAAGTTACAAGAATAAGTCGTGAAGTATGTGTTTGACACATTAAACCTGTCAATATTGCTTTCAGTGCGTCACAATCAGCGATTTAACGATTCGTGAGCGCTCACTCAGAGTGAACGCTCGCGAATCATAAGATCGTCGATTGTGACGCTCTGAAACCGAAATTGACAGGTTTATATCATCTGATGATCTCATAATTTTGAAAACCATTGTTTTATAGCAAGTGAGTGGAAGCAACCCTGCTTGCAAGTATCAAGAAGAGAGTGAAAAGTGCGTGTTTGACCACAAAACCTGTCAATATTGCTTTCAGAGCGTCACAATCAGCGATCTTATGATTCGTGAGCGTTCACTCAGAGTGAGCGCTCACGAATCGTAAAATAGCTGATTGTGAAGCACTGAAAGCAATATTGACAGGTTTTATGTGTCAAATACATACTTCACGACCCCTTCTTTTAACCTTCAATGATTTCATAATTTCGAAAAACAGTTTTGTATAGCAAGTGAGTGGAAGCAACCCTGCCGACAACAGCTCCATTTCCTGTTTAATATTAAGGCATTTGTTAAAGAGTAATGATTGAAAACACTAATTACATACATTTGAAAATAAGATAACGACCAGAAAGAATTAATTTTCTTTGAACCGGTGACGAAACTTTCAACTGCTGTGAAACATTTCCGTCTTATTTGCAGAAAGAAAACAAATAATCTGCGTTCCCCCTGAAAATTTCGACCAGCTGTCAGTTGCCCCAGTTGAGGCGCAGTCATGGCCCAACTAACGAATTCAGGCTGTAGTTGGAGCAGCTAGAGTGTGTTTCGTGGTTGAACGTTACTGTGTGAGGAACGAAAGGCGAGAGTGCTGTTTTTAACACCGGTTAAAGAAGTAGCGGCAGCACATCT